CTATAATTCCGCTGGTTTTCATGCACAATTATACAAAAACTTCTACAACAAATCGCCCTTTTAATTCTACGAATATTTGGTAGACCTAGAATGGCCTTTTATCCATGATAGTAAATAAGTTATTTATATTGTTCAATTAATTTTTAGGTCGAAGAAACAAATCGTTATGTCCTGCAGTGTCAGAAGAGAAATCAGAAGAAAGCACACTTATTCCCGGTGGCACAACACTGATGTTACTGAAATAAAACGGTTCCTGAGTATAATTATATGGATGTGATTTTGTAATTTTCCAACTTTTCATTCATACTGGACAAAGGATGATTTTATGTGAATAATATCAAAATAGTACTGTCAAGGAACTTCCAGTTATTAAAACGCTGCATTTCAACGATAATTCAGTAACAACAGATGATCGTTTGCAGAAGATTAGCACACTGAAGGATAAATTCAAGGCTGCCATCATTCCAAAGCAAAACGTGTGCTTTGACGTAACTTTAGTGCCTTTTCAAGGGTGAATAAAATTCAAGCAGTATATTGCCAAGAAGAGGCACAAATTTGAGATAAAATTATTCCAACTTAGTCTTGAAGGTGCTTATACCTACGATTTTAACATATATTGTGAAAAAGAACATGCTGAAGGTAGCACCGTACCAACAAATGTAGTGATGAAACTTATGGATGGACTGGTTGACAAAGGACGAACACTTGCGATTGATTACTACAGTTTTGTCACACTTAACCATGAACTCCCACACCGAAAAACTTATATGATTGGTACGTAACGTGCAAACCACAAATATAATCCCAAAAACGTCATTTCCAAAAAATTAAAAGTAAGCGATCATGTAACTGAACAAAGTAATTCTGGCATTGTTGTTCAGAAGTGGAGAGACAAGCGAGATGTGATGATGATTAGTATTAAATTCGCTGACGAAATGGTGACAATGCTGAAGGCACGCGGTGAGGTTGTAATGCCAAAGAATGTCATCGAATATAATAAATATAAAGGCTTCATTGATATTTCAGGCAAAGAAAAAGCTATAATTCGCCGTTACGTAAAGGAATAAAATGGTACAGAAAATTATCGATGGAGCTTTTGACTGGCACAGCACTTATAAATGCCTATGCCTGTGAGTCCGTGTTGGCCTCTTATGGCACTTAACCTGTTAAATAAAAAAAAGGGAAACTTCCTTTTAATAGGATTTTTCCTATAAAAAAACTACTAGATTATAATACATTTTTAATATAAAAAAAGAGGTTAGTCTTCGTAAATGGGTATATTTATTTAAAAACCCTTAAAAGGGCTACATCAATAAAATAAACGTTTTCGGACCACACAGTCCATCATCAGGCTTTAAAATCGAAAAAATTCTAGGTCACAATGCCTGAGCCACCAAAATACTAGGAACCTCGCTTCAGCCATGTGTTACCTGTAGCCAAATTTAATTTAATACTGAACATCACAGTTATTTTACAACACGATGTATAATCTTTTATAACTAAATGTAATTTAAAGGGTTTTACCCTAGTATTTTGGTGGCTCAGGCATTGTGACCTAGCATTTTTTCGATTTTAAAACCTGATGATGGACTCTGTGGTCCGAAAACGTTTGTTTTATTGATGTAGCCCTTTTAAGGGTTTTTTAAATAAATATACCCATTTACAAAGACTAACCTCTTTTTTGTGATACGTGGTATACAGTCAGCTACAGGAATTTTTTCCTTGTGGATTTTTTATATAATTTTTAATTAGGAAAAAATGTTTTATTGTGTTACTGAATAAAAGTTATTAGATTGTTTTAGTAGACCGGAACAGGTTGTTTTATTAATTTCGCAAAGTTATGAACTGTATTAATCATACATTTAATCATACTGTTTGCAATAACATGACTTACAATGTCTATTTATGATAAAACTTGTACAAACAAATACGTATATATTATGTTATCAATACGATACATGAAGTGGAGGTATGTAAAGACTGTCATTATAAATACTAACATTTATTACCTGAGATATTATTTTATATAGGAAGAAACAATAATTGATTCGAAATTGTTTTTAAAGAAATATTTGGACGCGGCTATCTGGCTACATATATGGCTGGATATATATATATATATATATATATATATATATATATATATATTATATATATATATTAAATGGCCAACTATATGGCCTAGGAGACAAATTCGTTAAACTTCCCGTGCTCGAATTGGTATCACTAAAGTGTTATGATCATTTCGGCCTATCCCAGCCATCGTCAGACACTTGGGCTGATACAAATTCAAACTCGGAAAGTAAAACGAATGTCTCCCAAATCTTTACTACCGTGTAGTTAGCTTATAAAGGCGCCCCCTACTTTGGAGGCCGTGAACGAAACGATATGAATAATCGTTTTCTGTATCCTTTATGCTATGCGAAATGTGTAAAGAATTAAATCTTTTAGCGAAAGCCGCTATCGCTTTATATATTAAATGGCCAACTATATGGCCTAGGAGACAAATTCGTTAAACTTCCCGTGCTCGAATTGGTATCACTAAAGTGTTATGATCATTTCGGCCTATCCCAGCCATCGTCAGACACTTGGGCTGATACAAATTCAAACTCGGAAAGTAAAACGAATGTCTCCCAAATCTTTACTACCGTGTAGTTAGCTTATAAAGGCGCCCCCTTAGCTTATAAAAGCTTATAAAGACACTTGGGCTGATACAAATTCAAACTCGGAAAGTAAAACGAATGTCTCCCAAATCTTTACTACCGTGTAGTTAGCTTATAAAGATTTGGGAGACATTCGTTTTACTTTCCGAGTTTGAATTTGTATCAGTCCAAGTGTCTGACGATGGCTGGGATAGGCCGAAATGATCATAACACTTTAGTGATACCAATTCGAGCACGGGAAGTTTAACGAATTTGTCTCCTAGGCCATATAGTTGGCCATTTAATATATAAAGCGATAGCGGCTTTCGCTAAAAGATTTAATTCTTTACACATTTCGCATAGCATAAAGGATACAGAAAACGATTATTTATAAGCTAACTACACGGTAGTAAAGATTTGGGAGACATTCGTTTTACTTTCCGAGTTTGAATTTGTATCAGCCCAAGTGTCTGACGATGGCTGGGATAGGCCGAAAATGATCATAACACTTTAGTGATACCAATTCGAGCACGGGAAGTTTAACGAATTTGTCTCCTAGGCCATATAGTTGGCCATTTAATATATAAAGTGATAGCGGCTTTCGCTAAAAGATTTAATTCTTTATATATATATATATATATATATATATATATATATATATATATATATATATTCGTTTGTCTATTTCTATTGATGTTCTTTGCTTTATTTCATCATTACTTCTCCTATCCATTCTTGTTGAAGTTAGCCTGCAGCATCTTCGCAGGCATTTCATCTCTGTTGCTACTATCTTACCGATGTTTTTCTTGTTTATAATCCAAAATTCAGTCCCATATGTCATAATACTTCGTACTAATGTTTTACAAATCTGTGCTTTTGTCTTCATATTTAGGTGTCTACCTCAACATACTGAGTTAAGTTTTCGGATTGATGTTCTTGTTTGTCCTAATCTTTGCTTAATTTCTTCATCTGTTGTTGCCTTTTTCGTGATTATAAACCCCAAGTATTTGAATTTATTTTTTTTTTTTTATTGTGACGTTGTCGTCAATATGTAAATCTTCTATGTCTTCTTCACTTGTTGATAGGTACTCTGTTTTCGCAAGGATAATATCTAAGCTAGCCTTGGTATATTCTTTTTGTAGTTTATTTATCATGTAACTGAGGTCTTCTTGGTCTTGTGCAATAAGTACTTGATCGTCTGCAAAGCTTAACGTATATAGGTATTCGTTCCGTACCGGTACTCCCATGCCTTCGCATTTTCTTTTCCATGTAGTCAAGGCTTTCTCTAAGTATATTTTGAATAGGGTTGTAGATGTGGCACAACCCTGCAGGAGCCCTTTTGTTGTGGTGAAATCTCCTATGATTCTTGTTCCCATTGTAATGGCCACTTTATTTTTTTTTTATACAGAGCTTTTGTAGCTTCTATGAGTTCCGTCTGTATTTCTAATTTGTACATTTCCCCCCATAGTTCTGATCTTGAATTTTCTTTTCCATGTAGTCAAGGCTTTCTCTAAGTATATTTTGAATAGGGTTGTAGATGTGGCACAACCATGCAGGAACCCTTTTGTTGTGGTGAAATCTCCTATGATTCTTGTTCCCATTGTAATGGCCACTTTATTTTTTTTTATACAGAGCTTTTGTAGCTTCTATGAGTTCCGTCTGTATTTCTAATTCGTGCATTGCCCCCCATAGTTCTGATCTTCAATTTTCTTTTCCATGTAGTCAAGGCTTTCTCTAAGTATATTTTGAATAGGGTGGTAGATATGGCACAACCCTGCAGGAGCCCTTTTGTTGTGGTGAAATCTCCTATGATGCTTGTTCCCATTGTAATAGCCACTTTATTTTCTTTATACAGAGCTTTTGTAGCTTATATGAGTTCGGTCTGTATTTATAATTTGTACATTGCCTTCAATAGTTTTGATCTTGGTTTAGAGTCATACGCCTTTCTCAGGTCCACAAATATCAAATGTAAAATGTAAGTGTATCTCTACTTTTTGCTTTTTTCTTTTCCAACAGTTGTTCCAGTATGTATATGTGGTCTATGCAAGATCTTCCTGCCGTGAAGCCTGCCTGATCCTCCCCTATTTTGCCTTTTACCGTTAATTTTTACATTTTCCAAAGTAGTGGCCAACTTCTGGCCCTTTTTTTTTCGCGAGCTATTTATTTTTCATTCAGGCACTTAGTACGTTCATGACTGGAGAGTCAGAGCTAACCATTGAGGTGATGCAGAACACAAAATTATAGTTGCATGTTAACATCACAAAAGAATTGTTCCATTCTTTTTAATTAGCAACACAGACTGATCAAGCTTTACTTTTTAATACAGCTATAGGGTAAAAAATTTAAAATATAATTGAAAAAATTTATAAAAAAATTTTTTATTATAGGAATAAAATAAAATATTACATAAAATAATAAACATGTATATATACAGTTTTTATAACTGGTTAATAATAATACATATAATACGTGACATCGATATTGAATAATACTTAACTTTAAAGGAATGTAGTCTGATGATTTTTATTGCATGCAAAAATATAAAATTATATTCGTACAAGCAATTTTTGTTGTTCTTTTTGAGAGTATATTACTTTCGAACGAAAATTACACGTTTGACAAAATAAAATTCATAGAGCATTCATGTGAAATTTTGACAGTTAGTTTTACCTCAAAAAGAATGTCTTAATATATACACGAAAAAAGTTTATAATATATTCACAACCAAAAAAGCACGCGAAATGCGAAACGCCACGTGATCATTTATTACTTATATTATTTTTGAACCTATGAAGTAACCTATTTTACAGTTACAGCAACTGAAATTATTGCTGACTTGCAACTAACGTCGCCTATAGCGATAGGCCTAGATACGAAATACTGCTAAATACAGTCAAAATCGTTTACAACGACACCGGCTATAACGTACAATCGGATATAACAAACAAAATAGTAGGTCCCATAAAATGACATACAAAAAATGCATTTATATTGCTTATAATGAACAAATCGGTTAGAGCAAACGTATTTCTTGGAACACTAGTAGTTAAAATATTGGTTACAGCGTACATCTTAATAAATAAGTTTAAAAGTGCTATCCTGTAAAGTTATGAAAATGGACATTGTAGTGTTGTATTTCTCACAGGTATTACCGATATTTAATATCAAGAAATGAGAAGTAAGAATTTATTAATTTATGGTTATAGTACATCCGGACAGGCATCTACTGTCCTTTAGACAGTTAGACCTCCAAGATGGGTCCATTGTATTACAAAATTTTGTTTATACATATTTCACCATTTGGCCTAAGCCAAGAGTTTCTGAATTTGAATTCAGTTGTGTCTAGCCTTCATTGAAAAAATGTCACGGAAACAATTTACTATTGAGGAACAGTTTGGAATAATTTGCCAAGTCGATTCCGGTGATTCCGCGAGTTCGATTGCCCGGGAATTTAAAACGTCACGCTCGACATTGATGGAATAATGAAAAGGCGAGAGAAAATTATTAAGCAATTTAATAAGTGTGAAAAAGGAAAACGTGTTCGGTCATCAAATTACAGTGACATTGAAAGTGCTTTGCTCGATTGGTTTAAACAACAACGCGCAAACAATGTATCCGTGAGTGGGCCGATGCTTCAGGTAAAGGCTGATGCTTTCGCTGTGATTTTGAAGAAGAATTTTAAGTGTAGTGCTTCCTGGGTTCAACGTTTTCGAGCTCGCCACAATATTGTCCATGGAAAAATTTCAGGTGAGTCAGCAGTTGTTGACAGATCAATTATAAATGACTGGGTTGAAAATGTGTGGCCTACACTCAGGTCCGACTACAGCGATGATGAAATTTTTAATGCTGACGAGATGGGGTTATTTTTTAGACTGACACCTGATCACACGTTAAAGTTTAAAGGCGAGAAATGTTCCGGTGGTAAACTCTCAAAAGAGCGTGTTACAGTTCTTGTTGCAGCCAACATGTCCGGTTCCATAAAAAGGAAGCTTTTGGTGATAGGAAAAAGTAAAATGCCGCGCTGTTTTAAAAAACGTGAAAAAATCTCCCTGTTGATTATGATTTCAATAAAAAAGCCTGGATGACGTCAGATATTTTTAAAAAGACTTTACTAAAATGGGACAGTGAACTTTTACAACAAAAGAAACACATACTTTTAATTGTCGACAACTGTCCGTCCCACCCCCCAGTTGACAGGTTAAAACAAATTAAACTCGTTTTTCTGCCTCCAAATTGTACGTCTGTACTGTAGCCCATGGACCAAGGAGTTATAAGAAGTCTTGAAGCATGCTTTCGGAAAGAATTGGTGTACAAAATCATCGAAAAGAGAGAGAATAACGACGATACGAAAGTCAGTATTCTTGACGCTGTGCTAATGATATCAAAGGCATGGGGATCTGTGCGGAAGGAAACGATCATCAACTGTTTTCGTCTTTTCGGCCTAACTAAAAACTTACAACCATCAGGAATCGCATACAACGATATTGCACACAAACGCATTTGCAGGATGCCATTTCCCTTTTCAGTTCTGACTGCTCTGCAGATGACTATGTACGAGTGGATGACGAAATAAGTACGAGCGAAGAACTCTCAGATATTGACATCGTACTGAGTCACCAAACTAGTGACAAACAAAGTACTGATGAGGCTGATGAAGAATTGGAAGATTTCGGCAAAATCCCTACTGTTGCTGAAGCGTATGCTGCTTGTTTCACCATACGAGCATTTATTCAGACTGCTGAAACTTCCCAGAGTGTAAAAGAATCATTATCGATTGTTTCCACATCAATTGAAAAAATGTTTTTTTTCAGAAGTTCAAGGAAGGCGACAAACAAGAGTTACAGACATTTTTCATTAAATATTCAGGTAAAATGTGTTTACATATTTTGTAATACATATATGTATGTATTTTTTTTGTCTTTTTAAAATAAATAGTATATGTATGCCTACATTTTTATAATACAAAGATTTGGAGAAGCCGTTATATTATGTGTATACTTTATTCACTACTTATACTTATTTCAATACATATTATACATATATGTATGTACATATTTAGATTTGCTTAAGTACAATAAACACATATGTTAAATGTTATGTATATGTTATTATAACATATTATAAGTATAGTTAAAGTAACACATTTTTGCGTCATAACCCTAGGTACAAACGAACTAACTGTCCCTATTAGTGTAATATCGTTTATAGCAACCTGTTCATTATAACCGATAGAACTGCTTACAGAGAACACTGGCTACAACGTACAAAAAGCACCAGTCCCCTGAAGTTCGTTATAAACGATTTTGACTGTATATAATAAATATTCAGGGGAAATATTCAGTTGAGGTTTTAAAAACGGATTAGAAACTAGAGAAGAACTATACTGTATACAACTACTAACAAAGAAATGCTACGACCAACGAAATAACGTGTCTTTTATATTTTTTTTTTAAATATTTAACAGTTGAAAACATGAGGCCTATGTAAGACTATACAAAATACAAAAATGGTTCGAAATACCATAGAAGGGCTGCAAAACTTAATGAACAGAATAACGGCAACAAGTAGAACATATGGACTGGATATAAACACCAGCAAAACCAAGCTAATGATTATCAACAAGGAAAACATAACTGGAGCAAATCTGTATGTGAACCAAATGAGAATTAACCGTGTCTCACAATACAATTACTTGGGAACTATAATCAATGAGTCGTGGGATAATACCCAAGAGATTAAATGTCGCATCGGAAAGGCCAAAAGTGCATTCTCGACTATGAGCTCTGTGTTCAAAAGCCATGACCTCACCCTGGAAACAAAAATAAGGCTCCTTAAATGTTACGTGTACTCAGTGCTTCTGTATGGAGTAGAAATGTGGATATTGAAGGCGGAAACTCTATCAAAACTTCAGGCTTTTGAGCTATGGTTATACAGAAGAATCCTGAAGATACCATGGATAGACAAAGTCACCAATAAAGAAGTACTGCGGAATATGAACACAACCGCGGATTTGGTCAACATCGTGAAGAGCCGTATGCTGGAGTACTTGGGACATGAGGAATTAAGGCAGATACGAGCTACTCCAATGCATTTTGCAGGGTAAAATTGAAGGAAAAAGAGCCCCAGGACGAAAAAGAATATCCTGGCTTTGAGAGTATGGTATAGAAAGACCTCAATACAATTATTTCGTATAGCAACCAACAAAATCATCATAGCCAGAATGATCGTCAACGTTCGGAACGGACAGGCACCCTAAGAAGAAGAAAATAGAACTTACATTAAAGGCAAAACATAAAAATTACACGTTAATAATCTGGTAGTAGCCAATATAATACAACTAACAAAAAGTGTCTGACGAGGATGTATACCAACTCCTGTTTTGATTACTGTACATGCAGAAAATATCTGTGAAAAATACCGATAAATTATGGAGAACAACAAACCAAAGATAAGAGTCATAAGAACAAAAGACCAACGAGACAGGAGTACAGCAAACAAAATAAATAGACAGATCAAAGACGAAAAACGTACGAGCATGAAATGAGACAATCATGTGAGGCAACAGAAAGAAATCAGGAAAAACATGAACGATGTGTGGAAACTACAAAAATCTTAAGAAACGACAAGAAACTCATGCCACCTCTACATGGAAAAAACGGCTAAGTAAACACCACCGCGGAGAAGAAGTCAAGTGGAAGGCTAATTTTCCAAGACTCTCACGTGACAAGCATTATTATGATAGTAGCCTCTCACAGCGCCTCCGTGTATTATGAGGGGGATTATGGAAGAGTGTCTGGAGAGTATTGGAGCTCGGTTGATTCGTCCTTGATCTACTTGGACAGATCTTTCTCATTCCAATAAACTGTATCCTTTAATGTTCCTACGGATATGCAAGTCTCATTCAGGTCAAAAATTACTATGGTGTGTGTGTTATGTAAAGTCAAAAAGAAGGAGAGACTTTTGATAAGTTAAGTGAAACTAAAACAAAAACGAAACACACCTCAATCTATATTATCTATAAAAAACTGCCAAAATTTCATAGATATGAAAAAATGAAAGATTTAATATTTTAATGCATCCTTAAAACATGTATTTAGTTTAAAAATGGTAATTGAAGCCATTTGATCTGAGTTTAAACATTGAAATATGTTCCATAGCTATTGATAATAATATTTATTCCTAATTTTATTACTCTGTTTCTTTCTGGCTTCTTACAATACTGTTAAAATTTCTTAATAGATCCTCCAATTTATTCTTAATCATAAAAATTTCCTGTTCAAGTTTATCTGCATCTGGATTAATTTTCATCTGTTCTTTCTTAGCTTGTACTAATTCATTAATTCTTCGCACAGTTTCTTTGTCCAAGTTAGTAGTATTGCACCAAGTGGAACACGCCTGATTTTTTCCTATCGGTTTATAAATTCTGCCGGATTTATTAGGATAGACGGTCATTTCGTAATTAAGGAAATGAGGAAACAGGCAGATATATTGGGCCAGAGGCTTAAATATACTGTATTGCAGATTTTGACCGAAAGAAAAGCAACAACAAAAGTCGTTAAATTTGTTAAACATATTTTTAGGTACAATATTACCCAAAAGCATTACTTCAACATATCTAATATGCTGGGCTCGATATATATGTCCTAATAGCTCAGCATCATTTTTAATCATTTGTGTATCGCTTACAGCAAGACCATTGAGGAGATTGAGCAATATAATGGCAATCATAAAAATAAACATAACAAATATTAATTTACTAACAATGGGAAATGTTTCAAAATTCATATCACTAGCTTCAAACTCCCCAGTTAACATCACTATTGTTTTAAAGACCGATTTTCCTGGATCTGCAAAGGAATCATCATCGCCTCCTTCTGTATTATTTGCAGATGGCTGTTTGACTCCTTCAGTGAAAAGAATATAAAAACTAAGCGCAAATGCTATTAGAAGTAAGGAATACCAAAGGAGGAACTTGAAGAAATTGTATGACACTGTTCGCAACATTACAACGTTTGTAGATAACTTTGGGTGCTGCCCTATCATGAGTATTAATTCAAAAGCTGCTAAAAGTATTGATAAAGACGACAATTGTTTTCGGGTGTTAATGCTGGGAGAATCAATAAAGAGAATCGAACCAGCTAAAATAATCAAAATAATTTCCATATAATTTTCGAAATTTGTAAAATACTTCTTAGGTAGTACAAAGATCTGAAAGAGTTCTCTAAACATTAAAACGAAAAATGTTATTAATAATATGATCCACGAAAAGTGCTTGAGGAAGGTTTGGAATGATGAAAGTTCGTCAACAAAATTGGCATAGTAGGAAAATATATAAATAACCAAAGATGCACAAAAAGCTACATAAAAAGCAAGATTCGTAAAAAACAGCCACCGTGTTCTATGCCATTTCATATACAAGAAACTCACTATCACAGGGTGTTTAAGCAAATGCTTGAATTCTGGGGCTGTACTCATATATGATATAACTTCGGTTTCATGAACAAGCTCTTTATTACCAGAGTTTCTACCAACCTCGGCATCAGGAGTAAGAATTTCTTTGGCAGGGGGGACTAACGTGCGATAATTAAGGGTTATAGTGAAGTCTTCTTTCTCCTTTTTACCTTTGAGATCAAACTGGACGCAGTTATCTAAATGAGCTTCTAACAATTCAGGTTCCAAGTCTTGAACAGGCATAAAACCGAAGTTATTTTTGGAACCTAAGGAAGCTCCTACATCTAAAAGTTTATTAATAATAACTGTGTCGCCATATCGTATAGCGTAATGTAATGGAGTATTTCCAGCATCATCCGTTCCATTTATGTCATAAAGGTTTCTGTTATATTTTATCTTTTGAAGAAAGTGATCACAGCACAACTTCCAGTTAATTTCTGGGAACTTTGGACTGTCGTAATTTTTTAATAATATTGGTAAAACAGATTGTGGAATTTGGTCGTCGTTCTCATATTTGTTAATTAGAATTTCAAATATCTCGTGGAAACCATGTTCAGCTGTAATTTCTAAAGGTGTCTCTTTTTTACCACTTGTGGTTTTGTTTTTGTCTGCACCTTTCTCGAGTAAATGCTTCACTATCCGTTTATTACCTACTTTACACGCCAACTGTAAAAGAGTCAGATTCCCGTTTTCACTGTTAACTAAATCGCCAATCATTTCATTGTCACAATTTAGAAAATCATTTTCTTGATTTAGTCTTATAAGTTCAAATAAGGAATCTGCTCCTTTAGGACTAATTTCTTTAAGTGGAATTCCGTTTAAGTTATTATTATCCCCTTTATCTGGTAACGATCCATCGTACAAGTTTCCAGCGATTATCAAATCTCTAGCAGTTCGACCTCGAGAGTTATGGGAATCAATATCAACTGAAACACGACTATAATCTAGAATTACTTTTACAATATCGTTTAAGTCTTTTTTAGCTGCCCACAGGATAGGAGTCATCATTTTATTATCTGCCAAATTAACATTTATACCTTCGTCTATTAAAAGTTTAGCACATTTAACAAAGTCTTTGGAATTTTTATTACCATGTCTAATAAGTATATGTAAAGCATTACTACCTTGTGCTAAAACTTCATTTAAATGGAACTTTCTCTCCTTTAGTTTGTCTATAATAACTTTTAACACAAAATAGTCAGCTCGTTCAGCGGCGTAATGAAGCACCTCCCATTTATTTTCGTCTTGATACCGTACATCCGCTCCTAAGTCTATTAGCAACTTGACTGTCTTTGCCTCCACTTCCTTCTTCGTACACGCTATCAACAAGATGGGTTTATTGTGGTCAGGATAAAGATATTTTAAAAGTTTCTCATTGACTAATGTCTCCAATTGATCTGTTTCATTTATTAAAACACGATCTAGAAGAACCTCTTCGGGAGCGGGACAAATACTGTTAGTTCTTGTAAATATGGTAGATTTATCGCCATTGTTTATCTTCGAATACATGGTGAACCTAAAACAAAGAATCCTACATTAGTATTTTATTTTTAAAATGATTTTAATATATATTTATATATTTATATGATTTAATATATATTGTTATGATATGTAAAATCGAGAAAAATATTGGTTTGCTTAAAATATTTCAGTCTAAAAACATTAAAATAATTTAGATAAGTAGGATAATAACCAACAAACATTTCGAAGAAGGAAAGTCTTTAAATTTTTGGATTACCTGTATTAAACAAAATGTAAGCTATGCATAAATTATTTTCTTTGTTATACTATACTTGAGTGACCCGCATAATTTTAAGTGAAATCCAAAGACAATTGAACCGGGTTTTCCAAATACATTAATGCAGTGATTAAGGACAATAGAATAGATTTTAGAAAGAGGTTTTTGTTAGTTTTTAAGAATTGTAGAAAAATATTATTTGTAAATAAGTTTTAGTAAATTTTATAATTATAGGTAAGAATTTGTTTGTTATCGAAATGAAAAAATGGGGAATTGTGACGAGCTTTGATTGGCGGAGATTGAAAAAGGTGGGATAGGTATGTAGGAAAGAAAGTTTAGCTAGATTTTTGAGAGAAAAAAGATGATGAGTTGGTTTCCAAGGGGCAAGGCGAACGGCCGTTGTTTCTCGGGTAGTTTCCCAGAGGTAGGAAGCAGTAGCAGTGAAAGTTTGTGAGTTTTCGTGTAGTTAGTGTATCTGACAGAAGCTGATCCAGTAAAAGATTGTAAGTCATATTTTTCTACTTATATTCCAAGAGTCACTGTTCAGGCCAACGAGAGATTCAGTTTATCGTAAAGAAAAGATATTCCAAGAGTCATTTTTCACTCAGGCCAACGAGAGATTCAGTTTATTGAGAGAAGAAGAAGCTAGCATAATTTGAACGATTCGTGCATTTGAAGGAGATCATTAAGGACGATATACTTGCAACAATTTGTTGTAAGATTGCTGATTACCTAGGAAGCGCCTGAGAGTAGATAATATAGTCTACAAGGAACAAGGATTTGGACCACTCATCATCAGAGAGAGATATTTTTGTTTTCTGCAGTTTTTTCTTTTATTGATAACACAATTTTTACACTTAATTTAGAAAGGATATAAATATTTTGATTAGGAGAGTTAGAATAATTTGGGATTTTGAGATTTCAATTAATATTGTTTGTACCATTAATTTTGAAGGATCACGTACGTAGAACAAAATTGTGAGAATCATTATATGAGATTTTGTTTATTGAAAACATTTGAGTGTGAATTATTTCATTATTTTTATTTCAATATATAGTGTTATATCATATGTGTTTTTTATCATTCCGGTATTCTTTGGACCTTACCTTTCACATGTAATAGCATAGATATTGAAGCACGAATTTAACCCTGAGATAAGAGAATTAAAAAGTGTGATAGAGTCATAATCATATCATTTAAATAATTTTAATTGATTAATTAATTAATGAGCCAATTAATTGCTTGGCGCACCAAGACTTGAAATATCACAATAATATATATATATATATATATATATATATATATATATATATATATATATATATATATATATATAATTAGTTATTGCATTTATTAGACAATAACAACAAAATAGTCAGAAATCAAATAGACTATATTATCGTCAACAGAAGATATAGAAATTCTATATCATCTAAAACTTATCTAGGTTCGGACATATTCTCCGATCACAATCCAGTTGTTTTGTCGATAATACTGCAACATAGAATGTAAAGTACCCTAGTTCCACGAAAATCAATTTAAAATAAACGAAAACTTAAGGAAAGTCAAAGAAGATAATGCAGAAACTCTAACTATTAACCAAAAATGCGAATTCAACATTCTCTTGTGTCAGTTGGAAAAAAACCCTCAAAGCACTTGTGGAAAAAACAAAATCTTGGATGACAGAAGAAATTCGTGAACTTTTAGAAGAACGAAGAAAACATAAAGCAAAAGACCTAAATAAATACAAAAACATCAAAAAAAAATTCAAGAGACAAAAGAGAGATGGTTCTTTGAAAGATGCATGTAAATAGAAGATCAAGATAAAATATCATAAAAAGTATGATAGCTTTAATTTACACAAAAAAATCAAAGAAATGACAGGTTATAGAAAAAGCACCAGAACAAATGATGGAAGTGCTGAAGAGGACAGGGATTGATGGAAGAGACTTAAAAATTATAGCTAATCTGTATTGGAATCAATCAGCGGTACTCCGAATAGATAGAGAATATACAGAACAGGTCAAAATCTTAAGAGGAGTGAGACAGGGGTGCATAATTTCACCACTGATATTCAATCTGTACTCGGAGCACATTTTTGAAGAGGCCCTAAAAGATATTGATGAAGGCATCTAAATAAATGGAGTCAAGCTTAATAACCTGCGGTATGCAGATGATACAATAGTGTTTTCCAATACCATAGAAGGGCTGCAAAACTTAATGAACAAAATAACAGAAACAAGTAGAACCTATGGACTGGATATAAACACCAGCAAAACCAAGCTAATGATCATCAGCAAGCAAAACATAACTGGAGCAAATCTGTATGTGAACCAAATGAGAATTGAACCTGTCTCATAATTTTATTACTTGGGAACTATAATCAATGAGTCGTGAGACAATACACAAGAGATTAAATGTCGCATCGGAAAGGCCAAAAGTGCATTCTTGGCTATGAGCTCTGTGTTCAAAAGCCATGACCTCACCCTGAAAACAAAAATAAGGCTCCTTAAATGTTACGTATAGTCAGTGCTTCTGTATGGAGTAGAAACGTGGACATTGAAGGCGGAAACTCCATCAAAACTTCAGGCGTTTGAATTATGGTTATACAGAAGAATCCTGAAGATACCATGGACATACAAATATCCTGGCTTGCTAACCTGAGAGCATGGTATAGAAAGACCTCAACACAGCTATTTCGTATAGCCACCAACAAAATCATCATAGCCAGAATCATCGCCAACGTTCGGAACGGACAGGCACCCTAAGAAGAAGAACAAGAACAAATATTCTTAAAAATGATAAAGGAGATATCATTACTGACATGAAGAAAAGATTGTGTCGCTGGACCTATTACATCCAAAAGCTATTTAATGATGAAAGAGAAGAACTATTATTAGAAACCACAGAGGATACCGGACCACCATTATTACGAGAAGTCATCCTTAGATTATATTGATTCTTTTGTATGAAAAATGCTTTCAGAACAAGAAAGTAATGTGTCCATTTTTAGTACAAAATGTCAAGTAGCTTAGGAGATAATGCAAAAAAACAATTTTTATTTTGTAACTTCAAAGGGCTGTAACATTTTTGAATACACTTTTGTACTAAGGTAAGTTGGATTCAATCAATCTATTTTTGTCCCCGAAATGCGTGATTTAATTGAAGGGCTTAATGTAAAACAATGACAAGCCACACATGAGTTCAAAAAGAGTTAGTGCTATGCTCGGTTAAAGTAATAGTATAACAAGCCACCAAAAATTTATTTCAGCCCTTCGTTAATAGATGGGGCGACAAACCTATGATAACAGTGTTGCATAGATCTAGTTTGTCTTAGTATCTACTCGACATAATGACAAGCCACATTAAAATGGCGAATATGGGCGGAAGCGATGCGGATGTTTCTGTGAGTTCTGACGATTCTAGCGAGAAAAATACTAAAGTTCAGTCGACATTCGATGACAGTGACCGTGATCCTGACTATGTACAATCTAGAAGTGACCGAAGTGATGAAAATACAGCGGTATGTAATTTTTTTGTTAAATGTGGCTTGTCACATTATTACCATTCAAGATTAAAGTATGATTGTTGTGGCTTGTGATATTGCTTGTTATATTATTGCATTTTGTTGTAGGATAATGAACAAGGTCCGTCAAGAAAAAGGACAAAACCAAACACACCCGACAAAACCCCAACAAGTCGATGGAGACAAAGAAATGAACACTGTTATTCAAGATAAAAAAGAAAAATTAGACGAAATTTAGGACAACCATATGTAAGCGAGAAAACAAAAAAAAATTGCCTGGTCGAGAATTGGGACCGCCTTGCAGTTGCACTAAGAAGTGTAGGGAAAAGCTTCAGGGCCACGAGAGCAATATTTTTAACGAGTTTTGGAACCTTGGTTTATGGGAGTTACAAAATAGCTACTGATTCGGATGTATAGATATTGTTAAGAAGGAAAGGTCCTACCAAAAGAAGCAAAAACATCAAGAATCGCATAGAAAGAGCAATGCAGTCTACTCCATTAATGTTAATGGTGAAACTACACGTGTCTGTAATACAGAATTTTTAAATATCCATGGACTTCAAGCTTCTAAGGGCAGAGTAAATAACATTATTCGCAAGAAGATAGAAGGAAATCTAGTGCCAGAAAGAGACAACAGAGGAAAGCATACAAACCGTGTGAACAAAATATCTGATTCGGAATTACTAAGTGTTAAAAACCACATACATTCGATTCCAAAGTATCAAAGTCACTACAGTCGACAAGAGAATATGAATAAAGTTTATCTGGACCATAACATGAGAATAGCCAGTCTCTATTCGGATCGATATGTCCCTTGGTGTACAGAAGAGGGAATTAAACCAGTCAAGGAGCATACTTACCGTAAGATATTTTGTACAGAGTATAATATTGGATTCAAGCTGCCAAAATCAGACACTTGTAAGATATGCGACGAAATTAATATCCAAATAGAGTCAGCAAAATCAGAAAAAAAAAAGATTATAGCGAATTAACAACAAGACCTAACTTGCACAAGTGTAAAGCTCAGGCAATGCAACAATTACTGAAGAGCGAAACAGCCCGGTCAAAAATTATTGATAAGAAGATATGTGTTATATCGTTTGACTTGCAGCAAGCCTTACCGATTCCCAAATTAACCCCTGGTCCTGCATTTTATTGCAGGAAAATCTGGATGTATAATCTAGGAATCCATGACTGTACGGAAAACGCTGGTCATATGTTTGTCTGGACGGAAAACATTGCAAAAAGAGG